ATGGATGGATGGATGGATGGATGGATGGATGGATGGATGGATGGATGATGATGGATGGAAGGTGGATAAAATAAGATAAGATAAGATGGAACTTTACTGATCCCACAGGAAATTATGTCAGAGTTTCAGTACAAAGGAACATACACAAAGCATTACACAATTCCTGGATGGATAATGGATTGGTGATGGATAAAAAAGAGATGATGGATGATGGATGGATATAGATGGATGATGGATGGATGGATGATGAATGGATGATGAATGGATGATGAACAGATTATGCATGATGGATAGATGATGGATGATGGATCATGGATGGATGGACAGATGATGGACGATGGATTGATGATGATAGATGATGGATGATGGATGGTGGACAATGGATGTATGATAGACTGTATTTATATAGTACTTTTCTATCCTATCAAGATACTCAAAGCTCTTTACAATTTAATCTGTGCTCTCATTTACCCATTCATACAGCATTCTACTATCTACAGTATACAGTATACAAATAATGCTTTATCACATTTATTTATGTGCTTTATCACATTCATACACAAATGGGACACACATTGGAGGCAATGGGGGTTCAGTGTCTTGCCCAGGGACACTTCGACATGTGATTGCTGGTGGAATTGAACCCCCAACTCTTGTATTGGAGGACAACTGCTCTAACCACTGCCCCCATCTATCCATTACAGCTGCCCCCCATGATGGATGGATGGATGATGGATGGATGATGGATGGATGATGGCTGGATAGATGATGGATGGATGACAGTTGGATGGATAATGGATGATATTTTACTGCTACAGACATTTTTACAAGTGAATCTGTTTTGCACCATAAACAAGTTTCCTCTGGAGTTCTGGCAGATCCTCTTCTGGATTATGGTCCAGGGTCCTCCCGTAGGACTCAGACTCTCCTGAAGAAGTCAGACATCCTGCTGGTCTTCTTGTTTTCTTGTCCATGATTTAATGAGACCTTATGCTCCTGCAGGCAGAAGTAACCAGGTGGAGATCAAAGTTGAGAATGAACTTGAGGTCAAAGGAAAGTGGTGGTTCAGCCAGATGAAAGCGCAGAATGAGTTGCTGCTGACCGTGCACAGTCCGGCAGATGCCATCATTGGACCATGCCGCATGACTGTGCTGGTGATGTCAGATGAGGACACTGTGAAAAAAACTGGTGAAATCAGCTTCTACCTGCTCTTCAACCCCTGGTGCAAAGGTAAAACTGCAACTTTAAACATTGTCTTCTGTCTCGACTCGACTTCGGTACACATCCAGTCCCTCATTAAAAATATGGTTATAAACACGCTGATGACACAGTCACTGATTGGAATAGTGAATGTTTGTATCTAAAAAGTTGTCTGATCCTCTGGACATTCAAAAAACAAAACAAAAAAAGTAGAAACGTTTCGTCTTTCATCCGAAATACTTCTTCAGTCTGAGGAGCTGTATTCAGCTCAGTCTTATAAATAGCACCTTCTCATAATTGATCAACCAGTTTGCTGCTGACAGCAAAAAACAGCTGTTCACATGATTAAGGGGGACCATCAGCCTTACAATGGATTGTTAGCACCCTGATGGCTGTTTGCTATATACAGGGGGCTGAATGATATTAGCAATAACAACATTGTAAGAGGGAGACAGTTGAACACGGAGGCCTCCACCCCTGTTTAATGATGGACGGTTTCTTTTCACAAAGATGGCCTCCTTTACTCCTCTCTCAAACCACCATTCCTCTCTCTCAAGGATGTGAACATCTTCATCCCTGAACGAGTGACTACTGGCCTGGAGATGAGTGTAGACCGCAATCCTGGCCTGATGATGTTGATCTTCTGTGCTGGGCCATCCTTTTGGCCAGTGGCTGTTTAGTTTCTCCAATGTAAGACTGATAACAGCCCTCCTGACACTGAACAGCATACACAATATTACTCTGTTTGTGCCGGGGGACTGGATCTTTGGGAAGAACCAGTCTTTGCTATAATATATTTTGGGATTTAAAAGCCACTGGGACGTTGTGTTTAGAAAATAAACGTCTCAGTTTCTTTGATACTCCCGCAACATACAGAATGATCACTTGTCTGGGTCTGGGTTCCTCCTTTTCACCTGATGGCTGACTGGAGTTCTGTTTGGGTTTCTTCTCTGCTTTCATGAAGGCCCAGTTAGGATATCCACATTTTTCTAGAGCCTGTCTTGTGTGGGATTTCTCCTTCTGCCTGGTTCCTGAGTTAGTGGGGACACTGTCTGCTCTGTGGTACCGAGTCCTGATGACTCCTAACTTGTGCTCCAAAGGGTGATGTGAGTCAAATTTCAAATACTGGTCTGTGTGGGTGGGTTTGTGGTACACTTCAGTTTGCAAATGTCCTCTTTCAGAAACTGAAACCTCATAGTCCAAGAAAGCCAGCCTCCCATTTTTTACATCTTCTCATGTGAACTTGATATATTTATCCAGAGTTGATGTGATCAGTGAAATATTGGACTTCCTGAGATTTAATTTTAACCCAGGTGTCATCATCATACCTGAACCAATGACTTGGTGGTGTCCCTGAAAAGGACATCAAGGCTCTCTTTTCTACATCCTCCATGTACAGGTTGGCAACAATAGGAGAAACTGGAGACCCCATAGCGCACCCATGTTTCTGCCTATAATATTGCTCCCCATATGTGAAGTCGGTTGACTGCAGGGACAGTTTCAAGAGTTGACACAGTTGTTCTGTGGAAAGCGTGGTCCTGCTGCTCAGAGTGATGTTTGATTTTAACCTTAAACTGACCACCTCTACTGCATCATCAACAGGAATGCATGTAAATAGTAATGTGACATCAAAAGAGACCATTGTTTCATCAGTCTCCATGATGACATCCCTCACCTTATCCACAAAGTCCATGGTGTTCTGTATGTTGTGTTCTGAGCTGCCAACTAAAGGGATGAGTACAGCCTATTTATAAGACTGAGCTGAATGCAGCTCCTCAGACTGAAGAAGTCTTTCAGATGAAAGATGAAATGTTTCTACGTTTTTTTGTTTTGTTTTGTCTTTTTGAATGTCCAAAGGACCAGACTTAACTTTTTTAGATTTTTCTACCTGGATTATTGAGCATGCATCAGGATATGTGAATGTTTGTAGTTTTTAAGAGATTAGTGTTTTTCTGGCCATGAATTGAACAGAGAATGCAAGTAAACCTTAATGTTTTTGGAGCAAGAAATGAATTTGGAGTTACACTGTGGATTAGAACAGAGGTAGGTTGTGTTTTCCAACAGAATGATGGATTATGGCAAGTGGGGGGAGTAATTTTATCCACCAGCAGGTGCAGAGGTGGAGCAAGGGAGTTAGGGTTAGGGTTTATCAGTGTTTGAAAATAATCAAATCAAAGACAAAAGCTCAAAGAACCAATCTGAACTTCTAACAAAGTTAAGTCAGGTCCTCTGGGTGGATTAACATTTTTTAAAATTATTTAAATGTTTTGTCTTTTATCCAAAAGACTTTGTCAGTTAGAGGAGCTGCACCAACCTCAGTGTTATAAATATCACCTTGCAATGTGGAGGCAATCCTGGCCAAAGTGGTTCAAAATATCCTGATACATGCTTAATAATCAAGGTAGAAAAATCTAATAAAGTAAATCAGTCGATAGGAGCTCATTTTTTGCTTGTGAGTGTGTTTTATACCCATGTGCTTTGGCTGACTCCCATTGTTCTGTGACCCTCAGATGATGTGGTGTTTCTCCCCGACGAGATACTGCTGCAGGAGTACATCATGAATGAGAACGGAATCATTTACACAGGGAGCTGGAACAACATTGGCAGCCGTCCCTGGAACTTTGGGCAGGTAACACATGCGCGCGTGCATTAGGGGTTGAATGAGTATATAATTTTTAAACTCGACATTAACATAATAAAACCCGAGTAGAACTCGAGTATTTGATGACTTCATAGATTTCAAGATACAAAAATAAATAAATAAATAAAACCGCAAAAAAAGGTAATCATTTACAACAAAAAAGGACCAACAAAACATTGGGAGCATATATTATGCTCCTACCATTTATCATACTGCAAATAAGTCACAGGAAAAACTAAACTATTAGTTATTATTATTAAACTGCAAACGTGAAGAAACAAGTAGCACGTCAAAAACGAAACTTAAACCGAAACTGGTTCTGGTTCGGTGGCTTGGACCCGGTGTTACACCATACTCTGTTACCTGCAACAGTGCAACACCGCCCCCTACGGTCATACGGTGGTCACATAATATGACGTCACTACGGATACTCAACGTTACATTTTTAACCTCGATAGATGTCCTAGCAATCGATGTGTAGATTACTCGAGTACTCTGTTAATGCCCTAGCGTGCATTCTGGTGCATGCTTTTCTAATTGTGGACCGTGGTTTTGGACCCCAATTTCCAAGGCGTCCCCAAATGACTGTTGTGTGTGCTTGCTCGAGTCCCCAAATAGAACCTAATCAAACAAACACACACACACACACACACGGGACTTCTAACATACATGTGACAAATACTAATAATCTCACACAGACCAGTATTTGCAGTTTGGCTCTCACACAGACCAATATTAGCAGTTTGACTCCCACACAGACCAGTATTTGCAGTTTGACTCCCACACAGACCAGTATTTGCAGTTTGACTCCCATCACCTCTGGATCTCAAGTTAGGAGTCATTAGGAATCTTTGCCACAGAGCAGACAGTGTCCCTACTAACTCAGGAGCCAGGCAGAAGGGGAAATACCACACAGACAGGCTCTAAAACAATGTGGATATCCTAAATGGGCCTTCCTGAAAGCAGAGAAGAAACCCAGACAGATTTCCAGCCAGCCATCAGGTGAAAAGGAGGAACCCAGACCCAGACCATTGGTCATTCTGTATGTTGCAGGAGTTTCAGAGAAACAGACGTTTATTTTCTAAACACAACGTCCCAGTGGTTTTCAACCCCCAAAATACATTACAGCAAAGACCAGTCCATCCCAAAGATCCAGTCCCCTGGCACAAACAGAATAATATTGTGTATGATGTTCTGTGCCAGGAGGGCTGTGATCAGTCTTACATTGGGGAACCTAAACAACCACTGGCCAAAAGAAAGGCCCAGCACAGAAGATCAACATCATCAGACCAAGACTCTGTGGTTTACAATTCATCTCCAGGCCAGCGGTCATTCTTTCAGGGATGAAGATGTTCACATCCTTGATAAATAAGACAAATGTTGGTCTGAGATAGGATTAAAGGAAGCCATCTTTGTGAAAAGAAACCATCCATCATTAAACAGGGGTGGAGGCCTTCGGGTTCAACTATCCCCCTCTTACAATGCTGTTATTGATAGTATCACTCAGCCCTCTGTGAATAGCAAGCGGCCATCAGGGTACTAACAATATGTGTTTTGGCTGATGGCCCTCCTTTAACATGTGAACAGCTAGTTTTGAAGGTCAACAACAAACTGGTTGATCCCTCCTGTCCTGTCTTTGTCAGTTTGAGGACAACATGATAGACATCTGTTTCCAAGTCCTGGACAATTCCAACGATGCTCTGGGGAACTCCAAGCTGGACCTGGAGAGAAGGTTTGACCCGGTGTACATCAGCAGGATAATCAGCAAGATGGTGAGTCTGCTCACCTGGCAACAGTTTGACTGAAGCTGTGATTCAACATGACTTCTGATCTGACCTTTAGGAAGTTGTGCAGTGATTGTTCATTTAAAGCTGTCTCCTCCTTCTATACAGGTGAATGCTAATGGAGACAGAGGTGTGCTAATTGGGAGATGGAGTCCACCTTATTATGATGGGGTCTCTCCGAGTCGATGGACCGGCAGCGTGCCGATCCTCCGGCAGTGGAGTCGCTCTGGCATCAGGGGGATTAAATATGGACAGTGCTGGGTGTTTGCAGGTGTTGCATGCACAGGTGAGGCTTTCATATTTACTGAACAAAAACAGGAATTTATCACTGAATTTAAATAATGAAGGTATAAAAGGTGAAAGAATGACCTGTTTGATGTGCATTCTGGACAGTCCTACGCTGTCTGGGGATTCCAACACGTGTCATCACCAACTTCTCCTCAGCCCACGACGTGGATGGAAACCTCTCAGTAGATTATGTGGAGAACTTTAACAACAACGACAAACAAGACAGCATCTGGTAGGCTCAACTCGCATACAGAGACAGAGTTTTGCCAAAAAACATTATTTCAATCAAAGTGTTACACACCCTATAAATCACCTTCATGTGATACACCTGAATGCTGGAGCATACAGGTGTGTTTTAATCCAATGCCAAGATGGAAAGGTATCAGGAATTCATCTCAGAGAAGCAACTGTTTCTGATAGACTATCAATCTGGGAAGGGTCAAAGGTCATTTGGAGTCCATCGTTCAACAGAGAATTATTATTCATAGTGGAAAACATTAAAGGCAGTTGACCATTTTCCCAGCAAATTCACCCTGAAGGTGAGACCATACTGTGATTAGAGAAATGAGCTCAATTTCAAACTATTCTGACTACATACAGTAAAATCATTACTCACATTGGCGAAAATGACACTCGGTTGCGCAAATCAGAGATCACTAAAATTAATGTTGCTTCGATGTGTAACTTTGCAAAACTATGTCAGACTCCATAGTTTTTCTTGGCCCCCTCCCCGACCTGACCAGTGACATGTTTAATTGTATGTTGGCCTTCAACCACTGAGTGTCCAGGTGATTTTCTGAAAACAACATAGGACTTGTAGATAACTTGAGTGCATTTTGGGGGAAACCTGGTCTGATGCGGAGAGATGGAAGATAAATAGATGGATAAATTTACAACTTCTTTGCAAACGTCACTCGAAAAAACTGCTCCACTCAAAAATAAAGCAGTCAATCAGAGGAGAATGGTTCTTGGGTTTAATTCATTAATTCAACATTTATTTATACAGGTTAGTCTCATAAAGCCAGTAGGACTCATTGACAAGAAAGACCTGGAATTCTGAATTATGTACTTTAAACATGCATCTAGAAAACTGGAAAGAAAATGATGCTCCACTAATGTTGAAGAATGCTACTTATCTTGGAGAGGTAGCCTGTTAACTTATAAAAAAGCACTCCATAAAGCTAGAACTTTATTTTATTAATCTTTAATTGATGAGAATAAAAATAACCCCAGGTTCCTTTTCAGTTCCATAGGTAGTATCCTGATGCATGCTCAATAATCCAGGTAGAAAACTCTAAAAAAGTTAAGTCTGGTCCTCTGGACATTTCAATAAACAAAACAAAAACAAATTGTAGAAACGTTTCATCTTTCCTCTGAAAGACTTCTTCAATCTGAAGTGATGTGTTCATGAGGGAGATTTTCCTTTCCACTGTTGCCTTTGTCCTTCCTCAAGATGAGAGTCTGCGATTAAGTTAAATTCAAAACAGTCTGATCCTCCGACAAAAAGTGTTAACTTATTATATATGAAT